AAATTGAAGCTTTTGAAGGAAGTAACCAGTGAGAAAATAGATTAACTAAAGCACAATGTGAGCGAATTGTCTTCTACCGGATCACTATCGAATGTGCCCAGATGAAACACGTCTTGTAAGACCTTGCGAGATCTGATGCTTTCTTGTGAAATCTTGTACTTTAGTTCCAAAATACGAATCAGTTCGGTCAAGTCTCTTTCGAACGCGCTGGAGACAGTTACAAACATATCGACCCGCTAAAAAAGATTTTATGGTTCCTGATAATCTTCAAAAAACACTTGATGGTCAACGTTTTCTTGCATTCGATGTTGATATTGGTTCAAGAATGCTTGGTTTTTGTTCTCATGAAGGTCTTTTTCGATTGTCCATAAGGTTGGTGGATTCTAGAGCTAACTAACACACAACTTTCTGCTTGTTATGCGTTTTTTTATTGTAGTCCACATTGGGGAGCAGATGGAACATTTCGGACAGCTCCGAAACACTTCTAGCAAGCATACACAATTCACGGTGATTTCATTTCTACAAAACCGGGATTTTTTGCAACATTGAAAAATAAAGAAAAGAAAACATATTTTTCAACGTTAACGAATCTTCAACATTATGCGTCTAGTTATGGTATACAGTTATCGCCTGCTACAATAATGACTGATTTCGAAGATGGCGCAATTCAGGTGAGTATGCTAATAACTACTGATAGCTAAAACTTACATACTTTACATTGAATTATTATAATGAAATTATTCTTTATTTCAGGCGTTTCAAACACGTTTTCCAAATGCCAAGTGTTTAGGATGTCATTTTCATTTTTGTAATTGCCTTTGGAAAAAAGCAGGAAAACTTCATTTACGCAATATATTAAATAATGATGGTAACAAACATTTTCTTGCATCATTATTTGCACTGCCACTAATTCCAAAGGATCATATTCAATTTATTTTTGATGATTTCCAATTTAATGTTCCACAATATCTTAATATTGTACGTTTTATAAAATATGTAGAAAAAAATATAAATGGTGCAATTTTTAGTCCAGATATATGGAATTTATTCGACTTCATAGGATTGCGTACACGTACCAACAATCCTATTGAAGATTATCATAATAAGCAAAACAGGTAAGCGAAGATGTTCAAATTCGTGGTAGTAACCATTTTCCATTTTTGGTAAATTTACGAAGAGAGGCGAATGAATTTAACAACCTATGCGCTCTCTACACACCGAAACCAAGACACGGTAAACAAAAACAAGGCCACCCAAAATTAATATATCCTGACTACATCGCAAAGCTGATCAACAACGATACTCCGCCATCGGTCGACGAAATGAGGAAAGCTGCCGCCAACCGAGAGAATTGGTCTAAGATTATTGTCGCCTGCAAACCCAGATTGTTCGCAGCCGAATGATGATGGTGATGACGAATTGGAGAATGCCCTATTTTAAGGAGCAAACGTTGGTGTACAATCCTGTATAAGAAGAAGTCTCTTTGAAAGAAATAATGAGGACAGATGGGTTTTATTAGGGGATTATCATATATTTTTGCAGGTAGAGCTTTTTGAAAAACTTTCTTAAAAATAGGTAAAAGTCTCTGATTTTAATTTGAATGGTGATCTTATTCTGTTTTTCACGCTCTTTCACATAGTGTGTTTTAAATTTATTAAAAATTGTTTGTTGCGGATATATGTTAACTAATTCTTTTTATCCTGTTCTGTCTTTTCTCTTTAATCTTACGGTGGGATGAATATGGTTAATGTCATCTAATCGTAGAACTGCATTGTTAATGTGTTTATTATGACTAATATATTGTCCATGATGGAAACCACATTCGTATTACTTATATCACTTTCTAACGTTAAAGTATGCTTTTTCTATTGAAAATTCTATCTGTCAGAAATAATAATGTTTAAATATGCTCATGTCACACTTTTAGAAAATGAGATTGAAAACCAAGATCTTAAAAATCCTAAACAATCGAATTCAGGATCTCCGGTCGTGTTCACGGTCAGTTTTGCTCTTTTTCTAATAATTTTGATGTGAAGAGGATTTTCATCAGCTGGATGCAGTTCGATGAAAAAACGTCAAAGGGTGTTCGATAATGTCTAGTTCTGATCAGCAGTGTTTACCCTACATCTTAAGTTGTTCCCATTTAAATTCTAGAAGTTCATCCTTTAAACGTTTTCTAAAATCTATAGTTTTTCGGGGACAAATTTGCATGAATTTTGATAAATATATTCTAAAAGAGGTCAGAAATGGATGGACTTCGCTATACCCTTTTATTTTTCTATCCAAATCCAATATTTACTTTTGTGAAAACAATTGAGCGAATTAGATCTATTTTGTATGTGTGAGTCTCTTTTGATGGCCATCATTCTATTGTTTATATTGACTTTATACAACAACCTCCTGATGTAAGGGTAACTGTTAACTGGTCAAACTTACAAATTTTTCATCATAGTTCGACTTTATGATATGATTTAGAGCATAACAGTTAAAAAAATGATAAGTAAAAAAAGAATGTTACGTAAGAAGCTTTTAAAATATTCTCGGTTATGAAAATGAAAAAGGATCAATTACATTGTTGTTTTAAGAGTGCTCTAAAATCGAGTTCATTATTATTATCATCATCACTCTGTGTGCTTCTGTTTCCAAGACCAAGTAATGTTTGTTGAATGTATAATTCCCATGACGAGCTCAATTCCATATGTTTACAGTAGAATGCATGCATGTCACGTACACTTAATACATAATCAACTGCTTTTTCACATTCATGAATGTAAGACTGACTTATTAAATCAACATTCTTCAATGAAAAAGAACAATAAAGTATGATGCATCCTACAGAACAATTATCTTTGGAACTATCCATGTATTCTGTGATTCTACGCTGAGCCAGTGTCAGCTAAAGTTTGAGCGAACAATGGGATAGTAGCAGTGGGATCCCATCAAATATGATCGTGTAAAAAACTACCAGTTCAGTTCTTACTTGTTGTTGAGTATGTACACATTGTCGAATAATTTCTACGAGACGTTTAATCGAATTAATATTAACTGGAAAACTGAGTTTCGATGATAATTTACTTTTGTACAAAAAATAGAATAAAATACACGCTGTACATATTAAACTACGTATCTCATTTCGTGTTTTTTCAGCTAAAATTTAATCAAAAATAATATTTATCGTCTTGTTTTCTAAAAGAAATGTTGCGATCTACCTAATGAGTTGAGACCTTGCTCAACGAGTTTTCTTTCCACAATATCAAACTCTGTATTGTTAAATAATTCGCCTAATTCATTTGACATTGAAAATGAACCATCCTATATAATTGTAAAAGAATGCTGTGTTTTATTCATATGTTCGATGTATCAACATACGCGATTTTGAAGTTGAAATAGACTCTCGATCAACTTTGATGAGAAAGGTGTCTCTTTTATTCTGGCAAGTAACGGTGTATCATTATCATCCGCTAAAGAAAGAAATGACATGTCACATTTTTCGATAGGCACCGATAACGTTTGGCAATACTTACCTTCAAAAATTTTGATAATACCCGTATGTTGATATCCATATGCATTTGTAAATGAGTCACGTATTTGTCTCGAAGGTATTTCTGCATTTCGACGTAAGACACATGCCATTTCTTTATCAACTGTTTCAACACCAATCGATGACTGAGCAACATCGGACAAAAGCACCAAATCCAACTCATCGGACCGACGGTCAACAGCCTAAAACAAAAGCTAAAAAATAGCAATGATAATTTCTTAAGATACGATTACTTCTTGATTCGATCCGGTGTTAGTTATTCCAAATAATGGTTCGACAACGCCGTCATCCAGGCAGAATACATTGGACAATGCCGATAAAGTGTATTCATGACATAAACTCGAAGCATCTGTATAATTAGCAGCGGCCGACGGGAAGCCCCAACTAAACGACGAACTACTGGACATTTCGCTCGCTAGATCTGGGTGCGACGGTCCAGACATGGTATTATCTTGTTCTGATGAGGTTGCAAATAAGAAATTTGAATAAGGATCACACAACAGCGATAGACTTAAACCTGGCGATTGAAACTGAGCGTGTGCTTCCTGCGAACCAAAGGATTGCATGCATTCATTAGATGAAAAGCCCATTATAGTTGGCGGTTGAGCTCGTGGAAAAGCCGACGATGAGATAGTTGAAGGTGGCAGCTGAACTTCCGCTTGCTGCGCACTAAACAATTGCATGCGTTGATCTGATGGGGGCAGAGAAAAGCCCATCGGACGTGGAGGTTGAGCTGGTGGAAAAGCCGACGATGATATAGTTGAAGGTGGCGGCTGAAATTGCGCTTGTGCTTGCTGCGCACCAAATAATTGCATGTGTTGACTTGATGAGGGCACAGAAAAGCCCATCCGAGGTGGAGGTTGAGCTGATGAAAAAGACAACGACGATATAGTTGAAGGTGGCGGCTGAAATTGCGGCTGTGCTTGTTGCGAACCAAACAAATGCATCTTTTGATTTGATGAGAACGGAGAAACGCCCGTTGGAGGTGGAGGTGGAGCTGGTGGAAAAGCAGACGATGATATACTTGAGGGTGGCGGCTGAAATAGCGCTTGTGCTTGCTGCGCACCAAACAATTGCATGTGTTGACTTGATGAGGGCACAGAAAAGCCCGTTGGAGGTGGAGGTGGAGCTGGTGGAAAAGCAGACGATGATATAGTTGAAGGTGGCGGCTGAAATAGCGTTTGTGCTTGCTGCGCACCAAACAATTGCATGTGTTGACTTGATGAGGGCAGAGAAATGCTCATCGGAGGTAGAGCTGGTGGAAAAGCCGACGATGATATAGTTGCAGATTGCAACTGAACTTGCGCTTGTGCTTGCTGCGCACCAAACAATTGCATGTGTTGACTTGATGAGGGCACAGAAAAGCCCATCGGAGGTGGAGGTTGAGCTGATGAAAAAGAGGACAATGATATAGTTGAGGGTGGCGGCTGAAATAGCGCTTGTGCTTCCTGCGCAGCAAACAATTGCATGATTTGATTTGATGAATACATAGAAACGCCAAACGCACGTAGAGGTCGAGCTGGTGAAAAAGCCGACGACCATATAGTTGAAGGTGTCAGCTGAACTTGCACTTGCTGCGCACCAAATAATTGCATGTGTTGACTTGATGGGGGCAGAGAAAAGCCCATCGGAGGTGGAGGTAGAGCTGGTGGAAAAGCCGACGATAATATAGTTGAAGATGGCAGCTGAAATTGCGCTTGTGCTTCCTGCGCATCAAACAAGTGCATGCGTTGATTTGATTGAGTCATCGCCGCTAGAGGATGGGTTGATGTATGGCTATGGTATGTAGTTGAAGTTGGTGGTTGAGAGAACGAACTAAAAGTTAGTAAGAAGTTATGCTTGGTATGGTTTTGGGTGCAAAACGATGCACTGTCGTATTTACTAGTTGTTTAGTGTGCGTTTATAGCTGTCGCTGTTGCGATGGTTTTACGAATTGTGAAAGTAGCCCTATTTATTTGGGATTTTGGCACGGTTACCTATGGAAGTTATCTGGGTAAAAGCCAGGTGAAGTTTTTTTTTGGTTTCAGATCGCTGTGTATGTTTTTCTCACTGATGATGATCAGAACGAAGGCAAAAGAACTAATATGTCTAACAGATAGCTTTGGTAGATGCACAGTGTGACGTCAATAAGTGTTGCCTAGGGTCCGGCGATTTATTTCAGTTTAAGTTTGATTTTCACTTAATTTACTCTTCTGTGACCGCACTGTGCATCGAGGAAAGCTATCTGCGTGACATAATAGTTCTTTTGCCTTTGTTCTGATCATCACATCTGTGAGAAAAATATACGAAGCGGAAAATTTTGTTTCATTTTTCAGAAAAAGAATGTTTTGAAATAGGTGGCAAAAAACGCACTCATATTCACGCACTCGTATTTTGCAGTTTTCAACTTTCAATCTTTCTGCAAAATTAATGTCATAGCCTGAGAAACTCAAAAGGTTGAATCATACCCAGGTCGACGGTCACGTCTAAGTCGCGACGCGATCGCGATGTCACGATCGCGATCACTATAAACTCATGGCTGTCGCGTCGCGATCGCTACAAAGTCACGTTATCACGTCGTGATCTTGGTAAACTCATGTTTTTTAGAAAAAATATTTTGTAGGAGTCCAATCGCGATTT